GAAATAATGGGAGGCCAATTACCAAAAAGTTCTTGAAAGCATCTGGACGTAATAGTCCCATCTTTACTCAAGATGAAAGTCTGCACAGAAATTAAAAAGTGGAAAAACAGCTGACACATGACTGTGGCCTGATGTTACTGAGAGGAATAGGGTACTTTGGTGAAGTTCATATACTGTATTTTTTCATGTTTCAAACCAGATTTAAATTTAATAAGCAGGAGCAGCCAAATAAATGACTATGAATAGTACTTTTAATGCTCGTGTTTTGCAACAAAGCGGTCTCAAGACGTGATTAGCCCCAGGAGTTTCTTTCACAAACTAAATCGGGACAAAAAAGTTCAGAATCCTGCTTGTGTTTCAGCTGCACGCGAAGAACTGTGGAGCCTAAATGAATTAGAAACAGAAAATGACATTTTATTTAGTTTAGTTTTTTTTTTTTACCTTATGGTGTCATCAGATAATAGTTTGTAATTTATTGCTGTTAAAAAACTATTATAATGGGGAAAAATATATATCTATATATTTATGCATTGGTTGGTAACTGTTTCAGGTTTTGTTTGTCATCATATATAGAGAGTTATCATTTAACTTTAAAATTGACACTGCACTCTCCATTACAATATATCTTGTGATATTATGAAATTTCAGGCCTGAGGCAGGAACACTTAAAGACCAGAAAGTACAGTCAATAAAACAAATTTGCAACCTTGCTTGCCCCTGTCAGAGGGGAAAGTTTCTGAGCATTGGAGAAGTTTCGAGGATTCGGGGAAAAGTCATGTGGTGCTGAGTTCCCATAGGTTTGTGTTGTTTGTTTTTCCTGAGGATTCACAGTTCAAACTTCATACACAGGCATTCTTGTTTTATTTAAAATCTGAAATTTCTTTCTTTCTGTTTGCACTGAGATCTTTTCACAGCAATAACCAACTAAGCATCTGGTCAAGCCACGTTTATCATTTCATAACTGAATCACTGTTATTTTGTATCAATTGTTTAGAGCAAAAGAGGACAAAAAAAATCAAAAAGATGAGGGAACTTTTCCATTGGTCCTTCCATAACATCTTTCATTTATCAAAAACATTTGAGGACATCTACAGAAAAAAACAAATGTTTTTATAAGAGCTGCAAGATCTGGTGTATGAGTCACCTTTTTTTTCTCTCTCTAAGAAGTGACTTCTTCACAGAGGTGCAAATTATATACCAGTATAAGAAGCAGAGAATTGTTTTATATTTTATTGTCAGAGAGACTTTTCAATGTAATGAGGCGCTCACTCCAGGCACGAGTAAAACCATCTACGTGCTCAATTTGTACGAATCTAGTCGCATTAACAAATAGTATTTACTGGCTTCACTCATGTGTCAACGGTAATTTCAGCGGTTGTCCCTACCAACTCAAGCGGCAGCATCAAGTGATAGACAAAGGTTTTTTACAATTTACCAGGTAATCCGACCTCTTCACTCACTTTCCTCCAGGCGAGCTCCTTATTATTCCGGTTTCGGTAATTGAAAGAAAAGGTATCATAATTCGGGGCACCCACACAGTGACACGATCAGTTTGTCCTCCATTTTAGATACCAGTGAACAACAAACCAGTGTCTGTTTCTATAAATCACCCAGCAACCTTTGTGCTGACTGGATATCGCGACGCAAAGATCGGCTAAAGTCGAGACATTTTCAGCTCCCGCTCGATTTGCGTCATTCGCGTAATTCGCGCTGCCAGAGTAGTACGAGCGTCTGAACATGTCTTTGCGGACAGTAAGACATCAGTGACTAGCAGAGGTGGGGTGTCCACACCTCACAGCTTAAGTTATCTTGGGCTGAGCTCAACTATCGTGCTAGCAGGATCACTGACTCCACATGCTGCACACAGACTTTACTAATAAGAGCTGCACAGAAACTGCTTGTTGTGGTCAATGCTGAACTCAATGAAAACCTTTACACAGTAAGACAGTTGAATCCTCTTACCCTCTGAGAAACTCCCCAAAACAAACTCAATGTTATTTGCCATTTAAAATTAAATTCTGGGTTTTATTGGTCAATTTGGGATTTCATCAATCACAAACTCTTATTTGTAATCCTTTTGGAATGAATCATGTTTGTTATTCTTTTGCCACAATCTCGCCCGCTGACCTTCATCCAAATTCTTCTGTCTCAAGACAAAGTGAAATGGATCAGTTTTCCCTCTTTCTCCACAATTCTTCCCTTGAATCCAAATATTCCTCCATTCAGAGTTGTATGCCACAGTCATAAATCCTCAGGAGGTGCTTTCAGACAGGCCTCCGTAACTCATGTCCCCACTGGAGCTAAATCTGAGCACAGCGGACAGCGTGATGCAGGCGGGCTGGAGATATACGCAGGGGGATTTATTGTGGCGTATTTCATCTGAGCCAATGCTAAGCCTGTTCTGATGTCTGTTTTGCACTTGTGAACCAGGACGTCTTGCAGAGAGGCACATGGACAGAGCTGTTTACTGTCAGAGCAATGATAAACAGTATGAACAAGGTATAGAGGAGGAAAATCTCCTCAGCATCTAGCTTGTTGTTTTAGACTTGCTGCAAAAATGTGCTTTATATTTCTCCCCTTAAGTTGAGGATTCATGATAGTCATGTGGTCTTTCTCCTAAGGGGCTGAAATTGTGTGAAGTATGGACAATGAATAAACCTTTAATTAAATACTTTTTGTTTTTTTTTTACGCACCATCTCCTCAGATAGTGTCCTTTTCAAGTGAAATGTGCTGAAGGTCATGCAGATTGGTCACATATGCTGATGAAATTTATAAATCAGCTGCATGAAAGATGAATCAGAGCTTTATGCTGTAAGTGGTCACTGGAACACATCTGGGTGAAGTTGAGTAGATGGAGAGAGAATGAGAGAAAGAGGTCACGTTGGGGCTAAGAACACAGATACACATGGAAAAGCTGAGCAGAGAAAAAAAAAGTTAAAATTAAAGTCTTTCGATATTTTTGTTTTATTTTTATGATAATGTGTCTGCATTCTATCCATCTACCCTCTAGTTTAAGTTCATCAGGATTGCTAAATTTGCTATGCCAAAAGAGGAGAGTACACATAGTATCTGAGTAACTAAGTACCCTGCAAGGGCTCATGTGGAACATGTGGATTCTTGAAAAGATATGCAGAAAAAAAAGACCTTTCTGGCTTAGCTTTCCCCACTTTCTACTTCACTTCTCTTCTTGCTTGGGAAGAATGACAAAAAAACACCAACAGGGAACCCGCGGGGTGAGGCAGAGGACACGGTGTCTTGTAAAACATATGCACTTAATATTAGGGCCATAAAACTTGTAAAATTAAAAGCCATTTTGGAAAACAGAGAGAGAAATATTTATGCGTCTGGCTCTGGATAGAGGTTGTTTTATCTTGGGGCAGCAAGGGCCCGCCGGGGCACAGGTAACGACTGTCAACAGGCGGGGAGGGGGGTTGAAAATGTTTCAGGGGGCTGCCTGCTCTCCATGTCCTACCAGATGTCCACATGTGTGACTGGGTTTCCCCTTTTCAGCTGGCCAGAGTGGCCAGTGTCGGAGTTTTGAAAGAGCGAGGGAGAGAGAGGGAAACAAGGTCTGCTCTTAATTATGAAAAGAGAAGGAAAAGTAAAGATCTCTGAGCTTTAGACATTTGCTTACGTTAGGACTCACAGCGATGCAGGAGTAGCTACTGACACACAGAGCAGCCTCCTTGATGACATGAGGGAAAAATGAGAGGTGAAAAAAAATACAAAAACAATCTCCACTAGGTCAGGTTGATTGAAAAGCTGCAAAAAGCAATTATGATTGTGAGAATGTGCAGACCCCTCGTCTTAGCAGCCAGCAAACATCGTAAATCGTGTGGCGGACTCTGTTTACATTGTGTTGACCTCTCCATGCCCTCTGGTGCTGGCTGGGCTCTCTGTGCCCTCAGCAATGTTGACATACATACACATGGAGACTAGTTCATGCATACATGAATATATATACATGAGTTTTGTAAAGTTCATGACATTTTTCAGGACTTAGTATTGGGCTTCTTTCATACCAGTTTAATACTCCAGTTAGCTATCCATTCAATGTCCAAACTGTAAAAAAATAAAATAATAATAATTAAAAAATAATAATAATAATATGTATATATATATATATATATATATATATATATATATATATATATATATATATATATATATATTTACCTTAAATTGTCTTTTTAAAACATGTGCAGACAGATGTATTTAATGTCCTCCTTGCTTTGCCACAGGGCTTTTGATCATCTGTGTATGGTCAGCTGTTCGTGGAAGACCCACTCCAATGAAAATCATGTTTTTCTTGTCTACATGTTCATATGGCATTTTTCTGATGCTAGATGGCATATCACGAGAAAAATAAGTGCAAAACTCGATTTCTGAGTATTTTTGCATTCAAATCACTGTAAATCTCAGGCAGATCCAGTTGGCAGGTTCAGACACAGTGAGATTTCCTATGTCACAAATCCAGCTGCGATGCAGGCCAGACTCAGAGAAGTAGAGAAGATGATCGCAGAACAAGCATGTGCCTTAGTGGATTGAAATGCTTGTAAGAAAGCTAATTATGATACCAACTTTTATCATGCCCTCACAGACATTAGTGTTTGAGAGCTGAATAGCTCCTATGTTACCTGCTACTTCTACCACACTGTTAGGCAATGTTGGGCTGCAAGCTAGCGTAAAGAGGAGTGTGCAGAGCAGCGCTGTCTCAGCCCTCAACTCAGAGGTGAATTGCTCACAACTCAGAGGTGAAACGACCTACTGGAGTCCTCGAGAATGACACAGGTAATGTGATTTTGGCTAAAAACTTTATAAACACAATTTAAAGACCACTGGGAAGACTTTAAGTAGTAAAAAAAAAAAAACATTGCAGTGGGACTTTAAACAAAGTTGGTTAAAGGTGGAAAGGCCCTTTTTCAAACTCAGTGGATGTATACCACAAACAGACATTATAGGCAGAGTTCAGGGGGAGGAGCTTATTCTGGCATTGGTCTGGCATTAGAGCTGGTCGAAGGGCCACAGATGTGTTCTTAAAAGACTTGTGATGCAAGTCATCTATCTCTTGGTCATTTTCAAAAAAATATCCAGCAGATAACCAAAGAAATGTAACAAGATATTCTGGGCAAGGTTTCTCAGGGGCCTTTCTCCCCTGCAACCTCTTTCACCTCCACCTTGAGGTATCTCAGTCCAGTTTGAACAAAAACAATCCCTTGAGCCAGCGCTGGATCTACTCTGGGGTCCCCTTGCAGATAGACATGCTTGTTAAACCTCCAAAGACCGGCATCCCAATCAGATGTCTGAAACTGACACCTCGGAAGATAAAATAGAGGTGGCTCTACTGTGAGCTACCTCTGGATACATGAAACTGTATTTAAATACTGAACCCACCAACACCTGGAAAGACACTCATTTTGGCTGTCTCCATCCGTGATCTCATTTGGGTAGACACTACCCAACAGTCAATGGTGAGGGTTGTAACATGGATCAGCTTATAAATGGAAAGTTTGGTCTCCTATGTCCACAATCAGCAAAAATGATGACATAACTAATGACGACAATAAAAGGATCAGCCTATTCCTCATCTCTACTTAAATTCTGTTCTGGCACTGGCTTGATGTTCAGTGCCAAATATTTCAGGTTTCCCAGTTGGAGCTCAGTGTTTGGAAGAGTTGGATGTGGTGGCTGTGGGCCGACCAGCAAATGATAATCTCATCTCTTTATCAAGTCTACTGCTTTTTCTTTTGTAGCTGCAATGAAGCTAAATTTAGCGTTAATGTCCTTGACTGTATATAGAATGGACGCAGTCTGTCTCCCCTCACTGGTTGAAGCCACCCCAAGAGCACACACCCTGGTGACGGGCTGCAGCATAGGTCATAAATCCTGCATCTTCCAGCAATTTTCTATGGAGCTGTGGACAAACTTTAGAAATTTATTACACAGAATATAAATTTTTCTCCCCCCTGGTTGTGATGTTGTCTTGTAGTTTCTGTAAGACTGGTTTGTGCTCAAGTCCTCTTTCTTCTGTACAGCTCCATTTTTCAAAAGTTATTCAGGATTCATGTTTTCTACAATTAACACTTGATACCGCCTATGGGTGCACAAAGTTTACGCTTCAAATCCATATACTGGTGGAAGGCGGAACCAAGTTGTCCATAGTAGTACAGTCTATGGTGCACACAACAGTTGTCAACTGTCCATCTGATATCACACTGATGACTATGTGTATTTTACTGTTATTGATAACAACCTGCAAAATAACAGTAGTGACAAATGAAAGCCTCACACATAAACTAAACTGAGGACTGTACAACAATAAAAAGCAGCTTTTTATGTTACATTATGTGCTTTTTTCAACTAGTAACAAAGGAACAGAAACTGGACTCAACAAATTAGAGTCCAAACTCTGCCATTGTTACTCAAAACAACAACAAATGCTCGCTAATCATGTCCACCTTGCCATCTTTGTGGCCTGCATTAAGAAGAACTAAGGCATCAATGTGGGAAAACTGAGGCTTGATTGTTGCCAAGTGACATTTTTCCATGCCAGGGAATCTTTAGTCACTTCAGTTATAGTCGAGTGGTTCGTAAAGCTCCTTATTTAGTAGTCTCAAACTGATCAAGTGTCATAAAAGGCCTTTAGTCAGCTTAGAACTGACCTCTATTTTAAACTGACCTCAATTTCAAAATTTGAATATCACTCATGCAACAATTTGTTGAGTGCAAAAGAGTTGCTTCTGCCAAGACAGCTTTCATTTTTGAGTTGCATGTGTTTCTTTGCATGTCAGCAGTATTGTAGAAAAATATGGATGAGTAAACTGATGGAGTCATCAAAGAAGTGCCCATTTCATTTTCTACTACATCTGAATCATGAAAAGTAAAGAGTTTCTTCTCTATAAAAGTGGCAAATGCATATTCAACTCACGAACAAGTTGAAATTAGTTCCATACAGTTTCTGGACAGTGTTTTTGAGATCAAACTTCCATTGTTAGTCCTGGCATTTGATTTTTATACATGTGTCAATGATAATAAAGTGGTTCTGCTTTTCCAATTGTTTATGTATGCTGAGCTTTTCTGCTAAAGAAGTTGACAATAAATACAGGGCTGAGAGGATTTGGCCTCTGCTGGGCACGAACATGCTGACACAACTTGATTGTTTTTGGATTGTGTCCAGAAATCGGTGGTGGTGGCTCTTGCATTTTGACAAGACTAGATTTAAAGTCTTGGTGGAAGTCTGCACTTCCAGAGTCACCCCATAGTTTTGAGTGTTTTAGAGTGACTAGGCCAGCTTTTACGGGCCAACACATATTTGAGGAATCATTTTGAACAGCTTCATGAACACAGGACTTAAGAATAAAAAAAAATAAAAAACTTTTTCCAGCTACAGAGCATTTCAAAGAGTTGGAGCTGCATGTGATCTGCAGTCATAAAAGAGACTCATTACTGCCATAAGATTCGGACAAGAAGAGGACAGTGTTTCAGTATTTAAGAAGAGAGCAGCTTTTTGAGGAAAGTCAACTCCAGGTTGTTATACATGAGGAGATTTGCAGCACTAACAGCATGACTTTACTACTTCCTTTGGAGGGGACTATGAAGCATTTTGAACGTATCATCAGAACAGATGGGAGTTCAAAAAGCACAATGATTGCAAGCAGTGACTTCTGGATTACAGTCAAAAGTCATTATTAAAACAAGAGAGAAAAAAAAGTTTTTATTTTATTTCCACCTTTATCATTTTTCAACCACCAAATCTAGTATAATCTTTTATCATGCCTTTTCCAACATTATGCACTGTAGCAACCATGAGTATGTGAAATGATAGTGAATATAAATATTACATATAAAGCAACTATAGAATCCTTCAGCAGACATGTATCCATGTATTATGATTACTTGAGTTTTACCTTATTGAATAATTAAAGGGATATTCTGGCGTAAATTTAAGTTATGGTCAAACACACAGTAACACCGAGTTAGACACCCCAAAGAGAGATGAATGTTGCCGACTGCTTGATTCTCTAGTTATACCAACTTCAGCAACAACCACACAATCGCAATACACAGCGATCTACATCTCCGCACACAAACCTCAACCAAAAAGCCACTCTATAGCCACAAATAATGCTCAGAACAGCACCTCATTAACAGTACATATAGGGTCCAAGCCATAGTACTAGCCATCAAACAGCTTTTTAGCTTTGCCTGGTTTCTTTAGCAAAGAGACCAAACACAACTCACCTACTCTCCTCCAGCAGCTGCTTGTTTGTGGGGGAGCCCTGACGAGTCAATCATCGAGTGCAGCGGATCATGTCTATGAAGTAAAAATCATCATCTTCTGCCTTAGCGTCTCAGTCTGATTGCATTTCCATGAAGTAATAATCATAAATTTTCCACTGCACTCGGTGATCGAATTGTCAGGGCTCCAGGAATATCTGTTTAACTAAAGTTGTTTCACCAGATCTCCATTGAACATCAATTTATTTTTATTACCAGAGTTTCTAACATAAAGACCCAACAAAAATAGGCATCATATTGTTTCACCGGAAAATGATCCTACTATCACAAGCTTTAAAACTTGGTTATCATGAGATGATAAGTGAAATAAGTCATGAGCTTTAATGTGACTTGTATTTATGCAAAAAGGGTCTCAATCTTGGAATAATTAGGTAAATAGATTAAATATTTGAGAAAACCGGGAAATTATGTAATACGACTTAAAATATATGAATGTTTCTGTGGTGTCCATGAAGTATGATATGAATCATGTATGGATATTTCTAAAAACAGATGTAAAAGTTTCTCTTGTTACATAAATAGTGTTATATAAATTCTGAGTGTGTGTAGTAGTGTTCATGCTGTTGGTGCAGAAGTTTTTGGATCTTGACTTTGCTACCTTGACTCAACTCTGAAAGACCATTATTTATTTTTAAATACCAAACACACACAGCTTTTCTCTGTGAACCTTAGACACACTACACCAGTGGACATGCTCTTAACATACACCTCTGCACACCTCAGCACGGCCAAAATGCACTAAAAATTTACGACCTTAACATTCCTGCAGGGTCAAGCAATTTATCAAATCCTGCACATTCTGGTTTCAATTACACAGCCGATTGTGGAGAGCAGTTATTTTAGCAGGTTCATTTGGCCCAGTAGGGGAGGATCGAGTCATCCCCTGAACGCAACATGGGCATTACTTTGTGGACAGACACTTGTGCATGCTACAGATGGCAGGAGAGAAATTGTGGGGCAGCGAAAATATGAGCAGATGAGCCGCGGGTGTCATCCCACAACTGTCTCTCTCAATTTCTCCTCTCCTTTTGTCTTATTTCTTTGTCCTCCTTCCAAACTCAGTCTATCATCCGACATGTTTCTTCCTTCAGCCCCCTTCATCTGTCTGAAGCTTTACGATGATGAAAAGTCCTCCATCAGGTTTTTTGGCCTCCCCCTGTATCCCTCTGTGGCTTTCTCTTTCTGCACCTCCCTATTCTCCTCTCTCTCCCACGTCACACATTTCTATCGGTCTTTCTTGATCTCTTCGTCCCTCGCTCTGCCTCACACCCTCACTCCCTCCATCTTTCTCTCTCCTCTTCTCTTTTTCTCTCTGTGGTAGAGTGGTGATAAATCCCTGTTTTATTGCTGGAGAATTCCTCTCTCCCTGCAGGGCTGACAGCTCCCCACGTTCTAAGACACTGCTAGGACCAAACCCAATCCTCCCTCCCTCCATCACTCCTCCTCTGCTTCCATCTGGCCCTGATTACAGAGAGTGTGGAAGGGTGCAGGGGTGGGTGGGTGGGGGCAGACGATGTGGAGGGAGGCATCACACCATTACACCCTAGGAGAGGAAAGGGACAAAAAGAAGGAGGGATGTGGGAATGGATGAACAATGTGTTGGTGAGGAAGAGAAGAAAGTTGGAGAAAAGGAGGAGAGAGAGAGCGAGAAAAAAACATTTAAAAAGGAGAAAGAGAGAAGACAGCTTGTTGGTTTGGATGAAGAAAAAAGCTGCTGAAAAAATCAAAGGAAACTTATTCTTTGCATTTTAATACATACAGCAAGAAGATTTTTTTTTTAAAATGGGAAGAGAGCCCTCAAGAACAACTGTTATGTTAGAGAACATAGTGTATAAAAGGAGACAAAATATTACGTGTTGTTTTTCAGTGCTCTCCAAATAAGAATGCCATGGCTGGAGGGAAAGAAGAAGCAAAAGCTGAAGTAAAAGGGTATAAAGAATGACTCAAAAAATGTTTTTGGCTAGAGCTTAAAGCGATTCAAGGGCCAAGTCAATAAATGACTTCATGCTTGCTTGAAAGAAATGTCATTTTGCTGTGATGAGACCAATATGAATGGAAGAGACAAACAGGGGCGGAGCCAGGTGGTGGCCAGTGGTGCCCCGTCCTCACCCCTGGGATTTAATACACCAACCTGAAATCAAAAACCATCATTGACTATCTGCTCTTCTCCGAGGAAGGACTTCAAACCAACTATCTCATGGTGCAACAGGCTGTTGGTAGCTTTTCTGCATTTTAAAATACACTTTCTACATTGTCAACACTGTGACTGAAAAAAAATATATATTTTTGAGTCCTTAAAGATTTAAACAAAAAATCTTCATCCGTTGTCTGTTTGTTTCACATCAAATAGGCAATTCCACATCATTAGGATATGAATGTGTTGGCAGTTAAAGCCGTTATGATCAGACAGGGTAGTGTAAATTACTGTTATTTAATCATATGGGAATAAATACTCTTCATGCTACCCCTGGAAAATCTGTGCCTCTGTTTGACAACCTGAGTCCAAAAGTTCTGGGTCTCCCAATGGAGACAAAGGTAAGAGAAACGAAATATAAGAGCATGAAGAGCAGATAATAAATGATAACAAGTAATTAAGGGTTACTTACTTACACTCTCATTATTTATAGTGTGTGACTCCACAAAGAGCCAAACACAGATGAAACACCGAATCGTATGCATGATATGAGACAGTTTTCAATATAAGTAATTTTTATTTAAGGCCTTACAATTTCTCATTGGTGAATTAAAAGCTGGATTGTAGCAGAGACAAATAAAACTGTATTATAGTATCATAAAAGATGCAATTCATCAAACTTTTCAAGGTGTGTTGATGTCAGTTAAAGTGAATAAATGCTTGGTTTGTTGTTTATTTACAGATTTCACAGCACTGCACGGCAGCTGAGTCCTGTAAATGTGATTGAAAAGTGGTAATGGTCATCATTTGGTAGAAAGTGGATAAATAGAGAAGAAATGTTGTGTGTGTGTGTGTGTGTGTGTGTGTGTGTGTGTGTGTGTGTGTGTGTGTGTGTGTGTGTGTGTGTGTGTGTGTGTGTGTGTGTGTGTGTGTGTGTCCTGGCAGGCCGACTCACAGCAGCAGGTGCCAGAGGAGTGTGTAATAAACACAACTGCTTTGGACAAGCTGGCCTCTCACATCAAATAATGTGTTTTGGCGATGTCCACCTCAGCTGCTCTCATGTTCAGCACTCAGCAGCAGTGAAGCTCTCAAGAAAGCACAACTAATTAATATCACAGTTTCTCTCAGGGACGAAGATCAGAGCGAGAAAATACAAGTCCTGTTTTGTCCCAGTGACTTTTTTTCCCCTATGTGGATACTGTAGATTGAGAGATGCAATCTGAGGAGTTGAGACTTTTATAATCTGACATAACTCTAAAACCGATCCCCAGGTAACCCTCTACTGGTAAATAATAAAGGTAAATTCAGTTGATGTTATTTTTAAAAACATTTTAAGTCTTAAGACAATTACACAGTTTCTTCTCAGTAGAAGTCAACAGACAATCCTTATTTGTTAAAAAAATCATTGTTTTCTTATCTTTTCACAAAAGTGAGTGTGTATTATGTGTACAGTGCAGAATGGATAATGTAAAAATATACTGTATGCCCTTTGGGGTTGTCATTTCCTAGCCTACCATAGTGTACTGGATCGCAGCACATCACATCAAAATTACATGAATCACATATTTTCCTGTGATTTTTAGCTAATACACTGCTGGAGATTGCCTGTGATTTGTTGATTGAACCCACTTAAAGTCACAACATATAAACACTTTCAAACTCTTTCAAATAAAACTATTTCAAAATTTCTTAATGATCACTATCCACACCCAAAGGAAAAAAAAAAAAAATACAAAATCTGTTTAATCTTGTTTTCTAACATTGACCCATCCATGTAAATGTTGACCAAATGAGTAATAAAGTAGTATTTTAAATCTGTATGTGATATATTTTCTCCAATATAAAATAACGAAAGATTACAGGAGATCCAAAAGACACTGTTGACTAAGCTTTAAGCTTCACGTCAGATTATGAATCACCCTCTGCCACCTCCACCAAAATAATCAGGATAATTTCTATTCATTATTACACCTCCATTTATCTGTGAGACGAGACGTGGGGAGGACGGGGTATAACTCTGAGGAATAACAATACCATTAAAAAGCCTGTGCGGCAAATATCAATCACTGTTGCCGTTAATGTCCCTGCAGCCTATTCAGATGGCCTCTCTCTTTTCCTAATGTCCACCCATCTGTGTGTGTGTGTGTGTGTGTGTGTGTGTGTGTGTGTGTGTGTGTGTGTGTGTGTGTGTGTGTGTGTGTGTGTGTGTGTGTGTGTGGCTGTTATATTCAAAGCCCTTTAATCAACAATCGCTGCATCTGGGCCAGATAATGAATGGCATTGTTTATAACCTCACTCCTGTACTGGGTGATAAATGCACACGCGCCTAATGCTATCATTTGAATAAGAAATGAGATTGTGCTTTATTTTAATATCCAAGTAAGATTGTCTTAATATAAATTTCTTGGTGGAGTTGTGATGATGATGGTGGCGATGATGATGATGATGATGATGATGATGTTCCATTTTGTCAAGCAGCCAAAAGATTAAGCCACGACGATAAAACTGTGGAGATGGAAAATTTAGTTATGAAGCAATTGTTTTTGATTTATGGCCTGTGACAATAAGATATAAACAGGAGGTGTTAAAGGCAATACGAGTGGATTTATGGAGTCACAATTTTACAAAAAAACAAACAAAAAGCTTCATGACTCATACAGTGAGACTGGTTTCTTGAAGGAATTCCTGATGTATGTGTAAAAGCTCTCAGGGTGTTTATTTTTCATTCTGGCACATTTAGAGGAGCTGCCCTGCTGCCGAACACAGGATCCTCTGTAAAGTTTCATACAAGTCAAGTGAGGGATGAAAAGCAAACTGAGCCGAAACATCAAAATTATGTAGAAGAAGGTGTTTGAATAAATATATCCTGTGTGGCTTAGATGAAATATTGTAGATGTTGATGGCTAAACTGATTAGAAAAGTTCAGCATCACTCACAAATAATCAAATCTGTACAGTGGGAGTCCGTATAAATCTGCATTCATTTTCATACAGTAAACCTCCAAAAGAAAAGAAACAAACAAACAAA